GTCCTTAGGATAACATTAAATAGTATTGCTGTTTAACTGGGTAAGAAGGTTCGCTCAGGTCACTTGTCAGTGCACGGTGTTGCTTCATAATGCCCCCACATGTTTCAGGGTGAATGACTGGTTTCACCTGTGTGGACATGAGTGAGATTGTCACAATACACTTACAAAATCACCGTTTCAAACATTTAAATACATTTTTAAAAACTGCGCATTGCTTGTATATTTTTGTGGCTGTTGTGTTATTTCTGTGGGCTATAATAAAATATACTTTCAGATTGTGGGGCAAGGAGCATTTGTTGTTGTTTTTAATGGTTAAAACTAATTGTACACACTCCCATTCAGGTTTAAAATAATGAAAAAAACAAACAGATGTCAAATTAAATATTTATTAAATAGGATTAGCAATACTGTGTAAAGCCTGCCTCAGTCAACAGGTATTACCTATCTGAATCTCTGTTCTATTTGTGCAGGCTCACACCTGAGGAATTCTAAATTAGCCTGGATTTTAAGATATGTATTGTGTAAGGAGAACATTTATCTGCTGCCTTAGCTAATGTTACAGATTTCTGAAATATACTCTTTATATTGTTTATGGAAGATTTAGCTGGTTTGAATTTCTTGTCTCAAGCTTATCTTCCTGTCTTGACATCTTTTCCTAAAATACCAGTGAATGGCATTCATGATTCAACTGGGCAATAACACAATCAAGCAACTGTGGGACAAACCAAGTCCTTGAATAGGATCACCATTTAAACATCAGTCTGTGTGTGCACTAATGTTTTCTGACATAGCATACTGTAAGGCCAGTGGTTCAAAGTCACACCTCTGTCAGGCATCTCCTCCAGGAAGTTTAAAACCAACCGAGTTGTAAACCGCAGACGTCAAAGAACAGATTTCTAAAGGTGTTCTATCTGCATGGTTGCTTAGCTGCTCCTACGCGCTGCAGGCTGAGCTTTTCATGCTCTTCAGTGTTGTGTTAATGGCTAGTAGCTTTCAGTCCAGATCTCATTTGTTTTTTGGTAGTTTTTTTGTTGTTGTCTGCAGTCAAGTAATTACTTCTAATCAATCCAGAGCTTCTCTGCTTCAGTAATGGGTTAAGAATGAGTTTTCTGAAATGTTCTTCTGCTCAAATGGGATCATTGGTCCAAGAAACTGGAATTTCTTCAGAATTCCCATGAAATCCATAAACTGCTTTGCCCTTCATTTGATTCAGTGATAACTGCAAACTAAAGATCAGGTCATAACTGAGTCACAGACCTAGTGGTAGTTTGATGGCAGTGACTCAGCATGATAGTGCAGTAGCATTGGATTTCTGCTGCTACACGCTTTAAGTAAACCAGTGAACTTCGAAATCCTTTGCCCCATTGTTTGGAAAAGCGAGGCTGAGAACAATCTGTATTGTTGTTTCTAGGCCAAGTAATCAACACTGTACAACTGGAAATGTTCACTGTCGCCAAGCTGGGAGCATTTCACTGGGCGCTACTGTATATCTCTTTAACTTTGTGCTTCAGTCTCCCCACACAGTTGGTTGAGCTCTGCGAAGGCATTTATGTTTATCACCAACGGAATCTCTCAAGAAATAATAACTGGTTAAATAATAAATGTCATACTTCTGGTGGATATTTTAGATGAAACAGTGCAGCATGTAGAGCATTATAATCCTATGGTGAGTAGTTCAGCATGTGCTCTGCTTTGTAGATAAGTGCAGTAAATGTTTGCCACTAACCTAATAGTATCTTGCATCTGTTGGAGTGTATCTCAGACTGTTCACATAAGCCCCCAGATACCCCATTTGCTACTTTAGTCATTTGATATGTTATTAGAAAAATATTGCAGCTTTAAATTATGCTAATGTGGGGATTTACGGTAGGTTAGTTGTGGAACGTCTTCTTGGCCCACTAGAAAACCACAAAATGTGATTTTTTTATTGCTCATTTTTAAAAGCTTTAAAATTCAGTAAAGACAATCAGTAAAAAAAAAAGTGATCAGTAAAATGAAATATGAACGTTTCTTCATGATGGGCATATTATACAGCAACCAATGGTGAATCAGGGCCAGAGAGTCCTCTGAGAATCGACATCAGTAGAAGTAATTGAATTATGCTCCAGCACATTTCTGTTTGTTTATCCACATTGCAGCAAAGCCTGATTTAACTCTCCTGCGATATCACACGGGATCAGCAGATGCTTTATGGACCCAGTAAGTTCCACAGTCATGATCTGTGTACGGGAGGTGTCTTGCTGAGGCAACTCTGGCAGCTTCATTTCCCCCTGCTTAGCCTGTGACTAACGCTCAGACCAGAGCATGGGGGCTGGGACATGAGGGTTCATTAACTCAGCTGAAGCCTGATGAGCTGGAAAACTCCTAACCTTCAATGTTTTAGCCCAGCAAAAGCTCCACAGAGGAGTGTAAATTTGCTCAGCACGGCAAACGGCAGGAGAATGCTGAGGCCTTCCATCATTTTTTAAACCACTGATTAAGACATAATAGAAAACAAGCTGAAAATAAAGGTGCATTGTCAGTCATCTGACAAGTTCCATGATTTGAATAATATGCAAAAACCCATCAGGTATGACAGGAAGAGGACATGGCACATACAGTATAATAGAAAGAAGGGAAAACACTTCCTTGTTTAAATATTAAATTTTAAAAAGTGTGTGTGTGTTAGGGGGACATTCTCTGGACCACATATAGTCATTCTCATAGTTTTTATCTAGAGTTAACTTTTGCATTTCACTTTAATTCTTCCTGACAGTGAAGTGCATCTGAGGACCACTGTACAGTATGTTGTCTCCAGTTGACAATGATGTGACGTGGGAGAGCTCAACATACTGACCACAGTGTTTACTACCCAGAGGCTGTGCTTCCAGATGACTGCAGACAACTGTTTCACTTGGCTGTTCTGACCCATAGACTATGGTTCACAGAAACATAGAGTAATAGGTCACTGATGGCAAGTTGCAGTAGAGTTTGTGTTATTTGGTGAGCCTAAAAGTGAGAGTACACACATAAATCAGATTGATATGATGCTGTCTTTTGTCAGAGATAAAGGGTTCAAGGCCCTGACCGTGTCTGCCCAGATCTCAGAGTCTCACATGAGTGGCCTGGATTTCATAAGCTCACATTTGGGGTTAAGGGATGATGTGTAAAAATACTGCTAAGCAGTGCACAAGCTTTAAAAACAGCACCTAAAAATACTCTTTTATTTATTTATTTTGTTTGTATATTGTTAAATATATTGGGAAATATGCTTCATATTTTTCTTGGTGAAAATTGGATGAAAAGACTAATAATACTCTCAGGTCTGTCCACTGAGTATGAAGGTAGCTTAGCTTAGCTTAGCCTAGCTTAGCTTAGCTTAGCTTAGGATAACAGGTAGAAACTGCTAGCTTGACTTTGTCCAGTGTTTAGAAATGCAGCAGGCCTAGCACCTGTAGTTTAGTTGGCTTATGACACCGAGGTCAGGTCCCACTGGTGGCCAACACAGTAACAGCAAGTTAGTCCCGGTAAATTCTGAAGCTTAGCTTGTTGTAAAGACTATAGAGCGGGGGGAAGCAGCTAGCTCTGCTTTGTCGAAAGTTCAAAAACACACTTACCAGCAACTATAAATATCCCTAGTTAACACAATATATCTCATTTATTTAATCCGGGGGTGGCCAATTCCAGTCCTCGAGGGCCACTGTCCTGCTTGTTTTCCAACTATCCCTGCCTGACCTGCTGCTGATTACCTGGCTCAGGTGTGTTCAGCCAGTCAGAAGCTGGAAGATACCAATTCAATTTATCTTTCCTCACTCCACTTTCATCTAAGATGGTATCTTCCAGCTTCTGAATGGCTGAACACCCCTGAGCCAGGTAATCAGCAGCAGGTCAGGCAGGGATAGTTGGAAAACAAGCAGGACAGCAGCCCTCGAGGACTGGAATTGGCCACCCCAATTTAATCCGTATACAAACAGAAATGGTAAAACAACCACTTTCCTGTGCTGTGGAAGATGCCAGTGAGTAACGACTTGTAGCCCCACAGCCCACATAATGAAAGGAGAGGCTGGGGGTCGGCCCGTCTAAGACCTTAGGTGGACACCTCTCTAGGTGCAGAGGGGGCAGAGTATAGCTTTGTGGTGTGGAAACAACCACTTACTGTAAAATGTGGCCAAGACCAAGGAGACAGTTGTGGACTTAAGAAGGTCCACAACTAAATTTAAGCACGATTTCCAAGACGAGGGAGTGGAGGACTGGACAGGAAATGTAACACAGTGGCTGTCTACAGGAAAGGACAGAGCAGACCCTACCTGCTGAGGAAGCTTTGGTCTGTTAATGTGCAGCAGGATGTTGCTGAGCTTCTACTAGTCCAGTGTTCTCTGTCACTATCTGCTGGGGCGGCAGCATCAGGACCAGTGACACCAACCAACTGAACAAACTGATCAAGAAGGCTGGCTCTGTGCTGGGGACTTCTACAGAGCCTCTGGAGGTGGTTGTGGAGGAAACTACACAAACTGTTGAACATCATGGGAACATCAACAAATAGATGTTAGGTTACTTTATTTGAACCTGTAAGTAGATTTGTTTTGCAGCAAGGTAGCACACAAACATGTATGACATAAGACAACACATAGGTACTGAATTGAAGATGAAAATAAAAATATCTTGGGGCAGTTATTGATGTATGTAAAACTGTCATGGGATCAAATGCATGTGTCGTTCACAGGAAGGGGCTACAGCAGTTATATTTATATAAGCTTCAACAGTTTGCTGTAGACAGATATTGGTTCTTTTGTCTCATTCTTTTGTGGAGAGTAGCTTAACCTTTGTTCTATATCTCTCCGTTTGTAATTAAAAAGAACAAACTTAATAAGATTAGTATATTTAGTAAGCATGCAGGTC